ACAGATATACCGGTATAACTTGTATCGCTGTCTACAATTTGAGAGACGCTGATTTGTTCTTTTTGCACCAGTAGGCTTTTTAATGTTTTCCACACACGTTTGGGGTCATTGAGAATGTTTTCGAACTTTCTTTCGTAATATCAGTTTCTTAATTCTTTGTTCTCATGGCCTAGTTTGTTTCTAGTTTTTTTATATTCAGTTAGGAGATGAGGTTGTCTAGTTTTAATGAATTGACTAACAAGTTTTTCCCGTTCCTTCATTTTTTTAGAAGTAATCCAAGGTTTTCTACATTTCTTGTTTTGCTTCAAGGTTGTTACAGGAAATGCTTCATCATATAATTTCTTAACGTGATTGATAAAATTATTGTAAGCAATGACAGGATTCATTAATTGATACAGATGGGACCATGAGGTTTTACTAACATACGTTTGAAAAGCAGCAATATTGCTTTTGTTAATCTTTCTAAGTTTAAAAACTATTGGCATGCATTCTATGTGTTTTTGAATGAGGGTTGAAAAAGACAAAAATTGGCATGTGATCACTTACATCAAATAGTGAAACACCAGCTTCTATGACATTCGTTCGTGGGATAAAGCATAAGCCAATGAGAGTTTCGGAGACACCTGTTACACTTGTCGCTTATATTGTCGTTTATATTATTGTACTCTTACACAATCACTGTACCACAATTGATATACATAACCGAAAGGCATTGTGCAAAGTATCAACAGTGAAACTGTTTTTTTTAAATAACTTTGCAATGTTTAACATCTGCTCCGTTATACGATAACGTGTCTCCTGCTACGTCATAGCCGGTCGTGAGTACGGACGGTGGTATTGGTAGTAACCCTAAAAATGCTTGCGTGTTAAACTTACAGCATAAACCATCTGTATGATGAATAAAGAAGACAAAAGTTTAGGGGAGGATGGAGGCTTGAAGCCTACATTTCTCTGTTTCCGCGATATACCTGTTCAATGACTTCATGTTCAGTGATTTTTCATGTACACGACTATCACAACCAATGCATATATCATCGCCATTGATGAAGTGTTTGTTAACTTATACAGTCGAACTAACTAAATACAATAACGGTTTTAACAATATATCGGCCATAACAATACTCAGCTGTTGCACCGTATACTTTTTGAGCTTTGGTAAATTAACCAACTTACAGCAATACTCGCATGCCTCATTATCGGTTATGACAATGAATTGTGGCAGTTTGGTGTCCCTGCTGAAAGATAACGGAAAGCGAAATTCGGGCAAAGTATGACGCTGTACCCCGGACCACAGCCCCAACGTGCCTCAGCGCCCCTTCGAATTTGCAATATGCTTCATCGCAAAGTGTTTCGGCAATGCCGCAAAGCTAAACTTTGATGTCCGGTACGATGCGGGAGGGGTTGTCGCTTATATTACTGCACTTTGCACATTCAATTTCAGTAAAAAAAAAATCAGGCTTGGGGAGTTTCAGCATCCGAAACACTGGACGTTGTCATACATTGGCTTTATGCCACTTGTGGCGGTCCTGTGAAAGCGTGCGAGTTTTCAAACATAATTGAAAAATCGGCAGCTTTGTCGTCTTTATCACTGACGTGTGTTGGCATATATCATCCGATATTATTGTGTTCTCACAAGAACCTGCAATCCCTTTATTTTTTCGTGCAACCCGTTTATAGCAATTACCGGTTATAACAATGAATTTTTTGTAACTCTTGAGTATTGTTATAAGCAGCTCCGGCTTTATAGTACACTTATCTGCAACTACATTTGACTGAGCATTGACTCGACGACACTGTCAACGTTGTGCGATAGACTTAATGCGTATGAACGAGCGTGCTTACATGCATAATCTTTAGAAAGGTTTTATTGCGCACCTGACGAGGCTTCGGCCTGCCTTCCGAGAAGAAGCGGCTCAAGTGTGTTGTGTGGTTTGGGACCTTTTTTCTCGTTACCGAGTGGCTTGCACTTCGGGGCTATAGTGTGTGCCTAAATTTGGACGATTTTTTGAATTTTTTTTTTATAATGTGTGCCTGTGTACATGCGTGCGTAAAATTCTGACGTAAATATTTTTGTGAGGTCCACTGGTAATATTTCTATGAAATGACGAAGCAGAAACCCAGAGTTCAAATCTCATGGTAGGAACATCATTATTTACGCACTACTCGGTGTACAAATTTGTTGTGCTGAAATGAGTCAGACGTGTTGGTGTGTACCGGAAAGTGAGTGAGTGATGTCTCTCGCGACGAGAAACTGCATGGTTGGTCAGTTGCTCCAAATGGCACATAGTATACGCTATGCGCATTAAAATACTTTCAAGCACACCTATAGTTCGTTTGGCAGTGTTCAAGCAATCCTATCGAGCGCCCTCACTGTACAGTTTCATCGTGTGAAACAGAGTGCGTGAAAAATTTAACGTGCGCCTGATTTTCAGAACGCCTACAAGAAAGTCATGCGTACAATTCTGTCGATGAGACATAAGATGAAACCTGCATTGTATATGCACAATTATCCGCCGTAGTAAAAATGAAGTAGAAGCTTCAGTGCGTCCTATGTATGTTGCCGCCAAGGCGCAGTACTTAGTGGTGTAATGAATTTAATTCAGACGAGATCAGATACGGCTTCAGGTGGGCGGTGCCACATACTCATCAGGCAATAGGCCAATACCTATACTTCCGCGCTGTTGTCTAAGCACTGCTTAGGCAAGCACAAATGTGCTAGAACAGAAAAAATCAATGAAAAAGAATGTAAAAAATTAAGGCAGCTTCACATTATAGGGATGCCAAGCATGGGTGAAGTGCAGAGCTCGGCAGCCTTCTTTGTTTTTCTTTCTTCCTCTGTCAATTTTCTTTTCTCATGTCTTTGCTGTTGTTTTTTTTAATTTGTTTGTTTCTTTCTCTCTACGTATTTTTTTGCTCTTCCCTATCTTTTCTTTCTTGCCCTTCTCCGTCTATTTTCTTGCTTCCCCTTTCTCCTTTCTGGATTTCTTCCCTTTATCCTTCTCTGTTTTTCTCTTTATCTAGCCTCGCCGAAAATTTTTTTTTTGCCAATAACTTTTTTCTATCTCTTTGCCAGTATTCCTTCCTCTTGCTCTATTTTTACTCATTCTTTCACCCATTGAAGTTGTTGCATCCCAGAGTAGACAAATCGTTAAATAGTACGAGAGCGAAGCAGAAGAGGAAGAAGGTAAAGAGAGCGTGTGCTGGTTCAGGATTATAACTTTCTCTCTACGACCGACAGCAAACCTCGAGAATAGCAGCTCTACAGTACAAAATCAGCTGTCCCTGTTGCACGTGGTCGTTGTGAGCGTCACTCACTTCCCTGCGCGGGTGCCCTGAAGTGAAAACCAGGACGTGCCTGACGTGGTCGGCCATCCACCCTGTTATGCATGATGCTTGCGTGCGCGCGCCTGTTGAATGCCGTGGGACAATTGCAAAAGGACCGCGATCCCTCTGACGTTCTGCCGTAGATGTTACCATTACAGTTATACCAATCCTGAATGGAACGGTGGCGTTCCTCCCAAAAGGAAATGGTTCCCGGAACATCGTTCTTTGGAGCGACGTTCTGTATACAACACTGCCTGCTACTTCAGTCACTTAACGGGGGTCTTATCGCACGACGCATGCGCAGTTGCGACCAACGCTAACGCAAATTTCCCTTCACTTTAATACCTTAAAGACCCCGGTGAGGGGGTATTACATAAGGGGTGGGTTAACCAGTGTGGGTTACAGAGTGATCTTCACGGCGAACAATATGCAGTTATGTTGCCCGCAAAAGATGATGGACACGTGGTGGTTGCAATCTCAAGGGGGAGGCCATTCCAGTTCACTGCTGGGCTAAGAAAAAAAAATATGCGGCAAAGATAGTAGTGCGAGCACGTGCGTGCGACTGATAAGGATGGGTCGTGCGGTGAGATATGCGCGATGGTGAGATGATGTAAGGAGATTGATTTAGAGAACCGTGAAAAAAATTGTGAAACAAACAGAGCCTGGTGATGTGGCGACGGGCGCAAAGATAATAGTAACATCAATTAAACGTTTTAGGGATTATATACTTATATCATATTAGTATGAAGAATGAATAAACCTGGTGGCACAATTTTGTACAGATTATAGCTTGTATATTAAGCATGCATGGTGCGGGCTCCAGATGGGCGCTATACACATTCTAGTTTGGATCGGATGAGGGATTTGCACGCGAGAAGTTTTACGTCTATAGTGGTGCGTGACGCAAACGACGTTTTAGGTAACTGAGGGAGCTGTCAGCGGATGATATGATGTTGTTTATGTGAGCGTTCCAGAAAATGTCAGATGATAAGGTGACGCCTCAGTATTTATATTATTCAGCATGCTCAACAGTGGAATCAGAGATAACGTATGAGGATGATAAAGGGTGACGCTTGCGATGAAATGAAAAGAGGATGCCTTTAGTAAGATTATCCTTAAGCAAACCTTTGCACTTCGCCTTTCTAAAACTGCATAACATCTGCGAACAAGTAAAAGTTCCGGTTTTTTTCCGTGTTTCATCTATCATTCTTAATAATGTCCCCTCCTAAGCGAGTCGTCGAAAATCTCAGCAAGAAATTCTTATTCACCTAAATGCACAGTACTCACGGATTAAAAGAGGACATCAAATTTCTCAGTATAACGACCGGTTTGCCCAATTGCTCGAGATAACCACGTCATGTCAAGACAAATTTAGTCACTGAAGATAGCGTTGGCCCGGATCTACGCGATGGAGTCGAAATTATACGCCACTACGGCACGAACTAAATGCGGTAGTAACAAAGTATAAGCATTACCTATAGCCCTAAATTGTCCTGTTTTAATCTTTGAGTATACTGTACACCTGTACGCATTGCCTGTTAGTTCTCCATTATTGTATTAACAACTAAAACAAGCCCTTGATTTTTTTTTCGTCCAGCCCACCTTGAGTAGCACATACATTGAATGATCTGTATATACGAGGCTCATGACTCGTCATATCTATACGACGCTCACAGGATTCTCAGCGGCCGCTGGTTCGAGTAACTGGATTCGGGCCACTCATCACAGACAGCCTGGGTGCTATCCACGCCTACATCACGGGTCTCATACTGCGGCCACCATCTCCTACTGCGCTCTACTCGTCGCTACCGCCCGTGCAACACGACGCCGAGCGCCGCCTGTGCACACAAAGCGCCGGCTCACCGCCGGAGCCCGCCAAGGACGCCGGCTTGGTCTACACTCGCGAGCAGCTGCTGCCCGAGCCCGAGTACCCGGTGCGTCGCAAAGACATCCGAGAGCTCAGGCAAGTGGCGTGTATCTGGATACACATGGTGTCCAACGAAAGGACAGAGTATACGATCAGTTTAATGTAAAGTGCTATAAATGTGTAGGGGTTCGCCGTTTCATTCGTTGATTGCCCCCTCCACACTTACCTCCACAGATGAGTGAGAGAAATGTATTGAAATAAATAAATAAGGTTATTAAAATTAGCGACTTCCCGTCGTGGACATTGAGAATTTTAAAAATCCCATCATATCCACGAAGTGACTGATGATGAGGGGGCGAAGGGCCAGAGGTAAATCTGGCAAACAGTAAATCATCCGTACATTTGGCCCACTCGATCATACGAAGACATGACACAAATACGCGGTGGGGGTAAATTGGGGGGGGGGGGGTCCTGATTTTGTTTTAGTTGTATGTGACTTTAAGTTCAGGGGAACGTTCCCGTTTGAATATGTAACAGCCTTGTGTTCTGTAACGCAGCAAGCCAAAAGATCTTTAATTGGATGAATAGTCTAAAATTCGAACGAAGTTCCACGCGGGGGGGAGTGGGAGTGGGGGGACCGCATGACTAGTTACCACGAAATAACGCAGCACTATAAGCTAGAAAGGCGAAAGTACCCTCCGCCACACAACAGGTTAAATAAAAAACAGGCAGTTGCGTGGCGACAACTGCAAACATATACTTATCCGAATCCAGTTCTCTTTAGTCTCTGTTACCCTGATTTGTATTTAACAGAAAAATGCAAGGTTTGCGATGAAAGGGCGACACTTTCACATATACTATGGGAATGCTCGAGTTTAGATGAAAGCAACGATGAAAACCACGAAGAGGCAGTTTCGGACCGCAGGACACGCTGGGAGGGGGCTCTGCTCAGCTCCTCATTCGAACAACAACTGTGGGCCGTCCAGCGAGCCGAGGAAGCCGCCCGAGCCCAAGGGCTCGTGGCCGACGCCTAGGCCCGCCCCAAATCAACTTCGCTGGACTTCATAAATAAAGTTATTCTTCTTCTTCTTCTAAAATTCGAGAAGGTTATGTCGATACATGTTCTCTTGACCGTGGGGGGAAGTTTGTAGTCATTAAATGCACTGGGGAAAGTAACAGCACATGTGCTGAACCAGCCAGTCGTCGTTCATGATGTCCACGACAACGTCTCCGGTAAGTACGCGGGGGCCGTGTTTGTAATCAGTTTCGTAGTGTAGCATAGCGTTTCCAATGTACGTGACAAAGTTTTCCTTGGACACATTAAGTACCAGGTACATAGTCATGATGACGATTCTATTGGAGAGCTTCTAAGTGGCGTGCTTCCAGTTATGGCTCAAGTCGATGGGCAGTAAATGGAGATCGTTTGCTTTATCTGGCAGCTTGACCAGATTCCACCACCGCTTGCCGGACTCTCTGCTTCTTTGGTGCGGATGATTGGGAAGAATCCATTGATGTACATGTTTTCAGAGTTCTACGTCTCCGCGAAGCAGAGTACATCCGCCGTAGTCAGTATGGGATCTCTCTCCATATCGTCTACACTGGCATTGACCAAGAGAACGTTGAGCAGGACCATGGGTAAACTCAGTCGAGTGGTCGACGTCTTCTCGCAAGGCTTGAAGATGCCGTTGGGTTAGCGTCGGCAACCCGTGTTGCTCGAGACGTTAAGACTCGCTGAGCATAGCGTTGTCTTCGCTGATCTCCTTGTGGTGAAAAAGTGATGGTCGCCTGTAACGTTGGTACTGTTCAGGTTCTTTACGTTGGTGCAGCGGCTGATAGCAATGTACATGAGCTATTGCGGATGCGTCTGTCTGTATTCGTAGATGACGGACGAGTATGTTCCCCCTTGCGATTTGTACCCGGTTATCTCACGGCGTGCTTACAGGAGGTTTTCAGAAGCCTAGAATGGGAACAGTTAGGGATAAGAGTCAATGGAGAATACCTTAGTAACCTGCGCTTCGCCGATGACATTGCATTGCTGAGTAACTCGGGGGACGAATTGCAACTCATGATTACGGAGCTATACAAGGAGAGCAGAAAGGTGGGTCTTAAAATTAATCTGCAGAAAACGAAAGTAATGTACAACAACCTCGGCAAGGAGCAGCGCTTCGAGATAGGTAATAGTGCACTTGAAGTTGTAAAAGACTATGTCTACTTAGGGCAGGTAATAACCGCCGAGCCGAACCACGAGATTGAAGTAACTAGAAGAATAAGAATGGGGTGGAGCACATTCGGCAAGCACTCTCAAATTATGACAGGTAGATTGCCACTATCCCTCAAGAGGAAGGTATATAACAGCTGTATCTTGCCGGTACTTAGCTACGGAGCAGAAACCTGGAGACTTACAAAGAGGGTTCAGCTTAAATTGAGGACGACGCAGCGAGCAATGGAAAGAAAAATGGTAGGTGTAACCTTAAGAGACAAGAAGAGAGCAGAGTGGATTAGAGAACAAACGGGGGTTAAGGATATCATAGCTGAAATTAAGAAGAAGAAATGGACATGGGCAGGGCATGTAGCGCGTAGACAGGATAACCGCTGGTCATTAAGGGTAACTGACTGGATTCCCAGAGAAGGGAAGCGGGTTAGGGGGAGACAGAAGGTTAGGTGGGCAGATGAGATTAAGAAGTTTGCGGGTATAAATTGGCAGCAGCAAGCACAGGACCGGGTTAACTGGCGGAACATGGGAGAGGCCTTTGTCCTGCAGTGGACGTAGTCAGGCTGATGATGATGGTGATGATGATCTCACTGACTGGAGCTAACGAAAACTGCCTGCACTTGCCTGCAGCGCTCGTCTTGCGATCCAAAGTCAACGCGGTCACGCAAGTTTGGATGGGGGTCCACGCAGCATCGATTTCGTGACCGCTCCGTTTGGCCTTGTTCCCCACTCGCTTCGAACTAAGGCGAGCGAGCTTTCCCGTCGCGGGCACGTCGTCTAACGAAGTGCGACCAAATTTGTATGAGGAACTCGTCGTCGTCGCCGCCTATTCTTGTCTCGCAAAACTTGAGAGTTCCCACCACCCCGTGGACAAGTCCGTCGATGACGTCGATGCTGGTGGTGATGATGTACGGCTTGTTGGAGGCGATGCAAATCTTTTTGGAAAGGTTGGCAAATTCCGTGTGTGACATCCGTTATACCTTGTCTCTCGCCTTCTGCAAAGCGTCTTTCGTCATGCACCCCAGGAACGTGTCTTGAGCCCGCAGACGTATGACATCTCCTCCCGACTGATGAATAGCAATGAACGTGTTGATTTTGTTTACTCCATCGTTGGAGTAGAAGATGCGCACCACCGATGGTGCACGAAGCAAGGGTTCTTCAGCAGTGACAAATCTGCTCTTGCATGGGCTGTGCCGTGATGGCAGAGAGAGAACGTGTGGTCTGGATCGTGCTTGTTCTTCATCGTCATCATCGTCATCTAGCCGATATGGTGAACAACGCCAAGGCCAACGGTCCAGCCTCGACCCCAAAGAGCTTCACCCCTAATGTAGATCGTCATCATCGTAACTAGCCGATACGGTGAACAACGCCAACACCAATGGTCAAGCCTCGACCCCAAGGAGCTTCACCCCTAATCTAGCGAGCAAGAGTTTTACCCACTGAATTAGGCTCAATTAAGTAATCGCCTAAAAACACGGACTTAGATCAAGATGTAAACACTGTACGTGTGAGTGTTTGGAAGTAGGTGTTATCATAGGAGTCTGCGTAATCTGATAACAAGAAACCATGTATTTTTCTCGCTTGCTGCAGTGGTTCCGAGGCTTTTGCCAACAAAAGTACATCTCATGGGATCTATAGTTTGATAGCCTCGCCGTGGTGGTCTAGTGGCTAAAGTACTCGGCTACTGACCCGCAGGTCGTGGGATCGATTCATGGCTGCGGTGTCTGCATTTTCGATGGAGGCGAAAATGCTGTAGGCTCGTGTGCTCAGATTTGGTCGCACGTTGAAGAACCCCAGCTGGTCGAGATTTCTGGAGCCCTCCACTACGGCGTCTATCATAATCATATGGTGGTTTTGGGACGTTAAACCACACATATCTACCCTTATATAGCTAAATAGGGAGCATTCATTGCATCTACATTAAAAACTAAATTAAGCTAGAAAAGTAGCGTGGCAGTATAATGTACGTACCGTGTTTTTCAGACACGATCCATCGTCGCAAAATTCAGTTTAAAGGGACAGCACTAGCAAACAAGAACTTAGTTTAGAGTGCTAACACAATTTTTTGGAAAACTGATTTGCTTAGTTTGATATAATTGATCACTAAACAAGATTATGAAAGTAAATGTTTCTATAATGCTTCAATCAAACATTCCAGCTATTTGCATTTTAAACACGCGCCGGAACCTTGCCATCGGTATGTCACCGTGACGTACATCATGGTTTTCGCGGAATTTTTTTGTTCTTTTTTTACCCTACAGGCTTAGTAAAGGCTTCTAAAATTTTCGGTGTTCAGGGCTTGGCTCCTTCAAAACACAGTATGTGTTTATCGACAGATAATAAGCTACGAGTCTTGGCTGGTGGGCCTGCTCTTTTTTACACCCGAAAAAGCATTTGAAACTTCGCCGGTTGTTTTTTGCGCCAAAAACGCAGTGTCAGAGATACTGTCAGATAAAGACGTGGTGCAAGCTGAACTGTTTTGTTCCTTTGAATGGGATACAAAATAATCAATGAATAAATTTACTAAATCGTCCTTACAAATAACGTCCCCGTCTATCACAAGCTGAGTAGGCCTGAAGACATCACCATTACGGCCAAGAAACCTGTTTAACCTAGACCAAGCTAACACTTGTTTACTCATTGCATCTCTGTACAAGACATCGTCGCCACCCGTTTTTCCTAGTGTGACTTTCCTGGCTTGCCAAGCCATATTCGCGCTACAAGAGCGGCGTTATTGAAATTTTAGAAGAGATAATTTACATGTATAAGTGAAATTACTTTCCTGTTCAGAATTTCTTTGAAATCAAGAGAAAACTAACATGCTCTCTATTTTGTAGATAAGAAGTTTTAATCAAAATAGAGTATGCATATGAATATTTCCCCAAGATACTCCGTGTTTCCATAAAATTTCCGCATTGAAGTGTCTATTGAAGAGAGACCATAGTCTGGAACAAGTGGCACTTCAAAAAAAAAAAAAAAAACAATCTTTTCGTTTTCATCTCACAGGGAAATTGTCGAAGAAGGGCGGGCATCGTGCTGCTTTGCCAAGGTGCAGGAATTCTACGAACAAACGTTCAGTTCTCTAGTTGAACTAAACGCACTGTTCAAGGTAAGTTAGTTATATTCTCTCTGCTGTTTTATAATATATGCTTCTCTTCTTTTTCTAATGAAGAAAATGTTTTAAGCGTATTTTTTCACTATAACAATCCAGATGACCAAATAAGCACTGTATGACAAGTTGAAAAAACAAAACAAAGTTTAGGCATTTATTCAGCGGTTAAGTGACAGAAAATTATCGACAGCAAATTATTTACCGTAAGAGTATGTTTTATTACCTCGTTGGTCTTTTCCGCTTTCTCCCGTATTTATTTATGGTTTCTCCAATTTATTTTTTATGCTTGTGTGCACTTTTATAACTTCATTATAATTGAAGATATTCTTTAAAAGCCTTAGTCAAGTTCGTTTTTCTAGGAAAACCCTAATCAGGATGATGCAAAGCTCGAAGATCCCGAGATTAAAATTGACTTATTGCATGCGGTCTATGACATCCTAGAAGAGCTGGTGAGTGTTTCTTTTGTATTTTTTTTGTTTCATGTCGTTGATGACTTTTCTGCAATTCTGCCTTCTTGTATTACCTGATGTCATTATACAATGCTAATGTTTTTCTTTCAGCCGGCATACGTGAGCAAGGCAGTTTTAAAAGGAATTATTAACTCCTTATTAGCTACAGACATCAGGTAATTATATGGGTTGTCTCATCTGCATGTGACATACGGGGTTGTGAACGCAACCACAAAAAGAAATGGTCCAACTATCGCTCTCGACAAAATGCCCATGCTTATAGGAAACTCGGTGTTTACTTTTTGTAACTGCGTTTTTTTTACAGATTAAAAACAAAAGATGAAACGCGAGCTGTATATATTTTGCTTCAGGTACAGATATGTTTCAAGCTCATCTTACCTTGCTCTAAATGTCATTTATGGCTACTTGTGCCCGAACACTGCAGACCTTCTCCTCTTATCGCTGTTTCAGAACCCAATATTCAGCAGCCAGGCTTCCTACACCGTGTTCGCGCATCTTTTGCGTAAAGTGGTGTCCTTAAAAAGTTCGGACCACCAGCTGCTCATTCATTGGTTTTCAAAGTAAGCACTCGTTTGTCATAGTTTTCTCGAGATTTTAGTAACAAGATGTGTAAATAAGCATGATAAATAAATATAAATCGTGGCGTTGAAAACGAAGAAAAAGTTTGGGATGGGGCTAGTTGGAAATCCAATAATAAACTTGATTGATTCGATTGATTTGTAGGGTTTAACGACCCAAAACCACACTATGATTATGAGAGACGCCGTAGTGGAGGGCTCCGGAAATTTCGACCACCTGGGGTTCTTTAACGTGCACCGAAATCTGAGCACACGGGCTTACAACATTTTCGCCTCCATCGGAAATGCAGCCTCCGCAGCCGGGATTCGATCCCGCGACCTGCGGGTCAGAAGCCAAGTACCTTAGCCACTAGACCACCGCGGCCGGGCTCCATTATTAAAATTGCCAGCGCAAAAACTTCCGACAACCAACACAAGAGACGAGGACAAGCGCAGACTTTCAGCTAATTTATTACTACTACGACGCACATATATATGTTACAAAAAAGACGATAAGAACACTTGCTTAAGCAGAAACCAAAAAACACAAAAAAAACAAAAAACACACGAATCCAAAAAGTCAAAAGAGACTGCAAGAAACCGTGTTCTCACACCGGACCGTCACGTGCCTAATGGGTGCCAGCCATTGTTCGAAAAGACAAGGGTTTTTGCATCCCACCCTGCCCCGCCGCGGTGGTCTAGTTGCTAAGGTACTCGGCTGCTGACCCGCAGGTCGCGGGATCGTATCCCGGCTGTGGCGGCTGCATTTCCGAAGGAGGCGGAAATGTTGTAGGCCCGTGTGCTAAGATTTGGGCGCACGTTAAAGAACCCCAGGTGGTCGAAATCTCCGCAGTCCTCCACTACGGCGTCTCTCATAATCATATGGTGGTTTTAGGACGTTAAACCCCACAAATCAATCAATCAAATCAATTAATTGCATCCCACCCTGACGAAGGCACAAGACTTGTAATCGAAGCTGCAACAATCATTCGAGGCAGCTGCATCAGCAAACCATCGATAGCGTTATCTGAAAGCGAATTGGCGTTTTTGAATTCGGCACGTGAGGGTCCGATATGAGCACGTGGTTTCTTGCAGTCTCTTTTGACTTTTTGGTTTTGTGTGGTTTTTGTGTTTTTGTGTTTTTTTGTTTCCGCTTAAGCAACTGTTCTTATCTTCTTTCTTGTAACATATATATGTGCGTCGTAGTAGTTGAAATAAATTAGTTGAAAGTCTGCGCTCGTCCTCGTCTCTTGTGTTAGTTGACGGAAGTTTTTGTGCTGAGAAGTTTCATTGTTAAAAAAGAAATTTTTTAGGGGAGGGGGAGGGCAGGGGGTGAAGGGGGAGGGCAGTCTCAGGCGTGAGTATGAGTCGTTTGCTACACGTGCTTTGGATGGGCTTATTTATTAATAATATCTGAGCTTTCATGTACGAGTCAAAAGCAACGATATGACTGTGAAGCAGGCTGTAGTGGAGGGCTCCGGATAATTTTGATCATCTGGTGTTCTTCAAAGAGTTTATTCGGTCTGTTGCTATGATTACTAAGATGTCTATTCATCTTCTCATGACCAATACATTGAAATACCTCCCAGAATATTATAAGATGCACCCCTTATCTCTGAACAAATAAGTAGGAGGAACTGCGTCAAGTTTTGCACTTATTGTTAATCTTCTGGTTCACTCTCACCACACAGCTTAAGAAAGGCTTCGTGAAAAATCAGTAAACGGAAGAGTGAGAGGAGGGGTACAGTGAAAGATATTGCTTCAGTGTTTCTTTCTCTCTCTCTCTCTCTCTCTCACGCATGACTGAACTGTCTGCCAGTTCTCCACCGGAAAGGCTCCGGGCGTTAGTGAAGCGTCTCCTGCAGTTCATCACAATACGAGAATTTCCTCCCGCGAACGGCCACAAATTGCCGTCGATCAGCAAGAGCCGTTGGTGGATTCCTTGCGCGACCAGAGTGCTGGCTCTCATAAGTAGGCATTGTTTGAAATGGCATGCATTTTGTCATACTGTGCGTCTGTCGTACCAACTCTGTTGTCCTTCCCCTTAATTTCACACTCTAGAAAAAAAAATAAATTAGATTCCTCACACTTTTTCAACCTTTTCGGTGATAAAGGTTTCATACTTTAAATTTTGTAATCGCAGTGTTTCTGGTTACATCGGTGTTCATGTTACGTCTGTGATGCGCCTGACAGCCACATTTATTTAACCGGTCTCGTTCTACATCTACACGCGGTACCATTCTCGCAGCGCAACTAGGGGGGGGGGGGGGTCCCAACGGCTTTTATATATGCCGGCATGAGCGGCTCTTACATATTTTTCTACGTCACTACCCGCTGGCTCGCGGTGATAAAAGTGTTCTCAGTCGTTCTTTCATAGAAAATAACAAGAGTTATTTGACAGAACCCTGTCGTTGAAAGAGTGACAGGAGTGTCAACTGCTCTCGCTGTCCGTACAGCTTACGGCCATCGTGAAAGTTAGCGCCTGCGCTTTCACTGGTGGAACTCAGTGATGTTCCGTACTACACCGAAGAAATCCCATTCAGAGACATAAAAATTCCCTATTTCGGGTTTTTTTCCTGCAAACGTTGACTAAATTCCCAGCGAAATTCGCTGCACAACAGTACTAATTTCCGCCCCCATCCATGCACACACATACTATAACTACACGTGTCTTACATTCTGGCAATTTTCGAAATCATAACTATCCCCTCTACTGCCACACAATAAAAGCATGACTTCATTAATTCTTATACTGTTAGTACACTGCGCATTGTGGGCTTCAAGTCTGTCTGGTCTCGATTAAGCGACCGCCACGCTCTTCAAGTGAACGGACACAGCAGACGTGGTTGGTACAAACCTAACAACAACATACATTTATTTAACTACTTTTTACCCGACAATATCGTCCGCCGAATTATTATACATCAATCGTGATCATACGCTAAACAACCTTACAAAATATTAAACAACATGAAAAACACAATAACACACCCAAGGCGGCGTCGCCAACGCTTGACTTAGCACGTGGGCCCCCGACGCGCAACCCACGGTGCCACGCACCGGGGACTCACGCTAGAGACAACAGTTCGCGGCAACCACCACGCGCAGAAAAGACAAGCTTATTTCTTGCGTGCCGCCACCAAGGCTTGCCTGCTGCCAGGGGTCACTGCCGGCGCTACCACTCTAACAACCATGATGATGATTATAGCGGTGATCACCGCTCGCGTACACAACGCCACCTATAGCTCAATAGCAGTGACCCCGAAATACGGCTTCTGGGCGAGACACGTGTGCCACGCAGCGCCAACAACATTACAAGGGGTGTCGGCACCCTCACAAGTCTAACACCACTAATGAACTAGAAATTGATCCGTGTAAGTATCAGCAACAAATCTCCAAGGCTATGTTTGCGTGGTCCATGCGTCAGAACCGATTGGAGCATATGAAGGTGCACTGTGACCACTGCTTATTGGTCGTCATAGGAGAATTTAACCATTCCTGAAATTCCTTGCAATGTAACGAAAATTTCCTTTTCCCCTTTGGCTCAAAATGACAGGCAAAAATTGCCCGATAAAGGAAAAATGCCCTGTAGGAAACATCATTGATGGAACTGTGCCTCATTGCAACGCCTATATACTTCGTGGCTCTGCGATTTTTCTCAGTGGCTGTGTGCTACGTTAAAATGTTAAAAAACAATGTTCATTGACGATTAGCGTGTGATAGCATTGTGGTCGTGACAAAAGCGAGAAATACAAATGAGGGAAGGAAAATAGACTCACCTGGTTTTCCACCCTACACTAAAGAAAAGTGAAATGGGGAAAATGACAGGAGAGAGGAGACAAAAAACAGGGACGCGAGAAAAAAACGACGTTGAGACGACCAGAACTGAACGTTAAAAAAATTTAATAAAGCCTTGACTTACTTCTGGTGCGATGACTATTTTGGTCAGCATTCTCTAATTGTCTTTTTCTAAAGCGGAACACCAAAAAAAAAAGTCACCAGGTCTGCTGGCAAAGGCTTGTGAGCGCTGTAGTGAGGTCAGCTGAAAAGGGCATGTTCAATGGTTCTTTTTTTTTGTCTCTGTGATTGCAAGAACTATGAACGTTGGCAGGGGCTTGAAAAAGCAGCAAGTTGAACCCCCCCTCTCCCAAGACACACTAGCACTTCCCTTTCTCCCACCACGGTTCAACATGGGTTCGCAACCCGACAAAATTCTGCTTACCGACGCCCGTGAAACTAACACACACACAAGCATGGTACAATAAACGTCGCTTTATATGTCATAACATAACAAACGACATCATTTTAGTTGTGTTTTACTATAAGTGAAATAGAATATTTTGAATCTACTTGTAAACTTAGTAGAGTCGTTTGGTATAGTTCAAGCCAAAGTAACGATATGTCATGGGTTTCTCCATGTGCTCCCATTTTTGACACAATACAGGGTTTCGGCGCAGATGCAGTGCTGTGGTTCTATTCTAGACGCTGTTAGTTCTGCGATATCGGTAAAGATCGACATCTTTTCGGTCATCTCTGATCGGCAGAGAGAGTTTAAGAGTGTGTACTCACTAAGTGGCCGAAAACACTAACATGGCGAAATTTCGGAGTTTTCACAGTGGCTCGTCCAGTGAAAATTATGAACAAAATGGGTAGTGTGAAAGCGTTTACAGATTGATAACCAATGCTTCAGCAGAGAGCCCCCCATCAATGTTTATTCTGTCACTGATTTACCGCGCCAATGAACTTCGGTGAAGACGTAGATATTTGTAAAGCGTGCTTTGCCTTGTTAGACTGCTGCAGGAGGATTTGCCATCTTGTCGGATATTTTGAGGTACTAGGATGCCAACTGTTCGCCATGTGCGTGCGTGCGTATGTGAGTGAGTGCGTGAGTGCGTGAGTAAGTTAGTGAGTGTGTTAGTGAGTTAGTGTGCCAGCGTGGTTTGTGTTGTGGAAATAGCTCTTGATGCTTTTCACGGGTCGTGCTTGAGTCTGGCCAAGCATGTACGCAGAAACAAACAAACACATTGAATCTTGTTTTACAAAGAAGGATTGTCATTGCGTTTGGTTTGCTACTCACTTGTCGTTCAGGGGAAACTTTTACATTGTTTAGTGATTTATTTTTTAAAAAAAACGTAAGAACTGGAGCTCACACCCTGAATGATGATAACAAGCTGTTTTGAAACAGTACTGTGTGGCAGTAAATTCATTGCTACTTACTGCAGCATTATAGTTATTGGGTTAAAAATTCATCGTTTCAGACGCGGCAAACAACAAGAAGAATGCCAACATACTGAACTACACGGAGTTCTACAACAGTGCCTTAGACCACATTGATCTGATGTCTGAGTACTACCGGTGGCAGTCTCCTGGAAAGCACACAAAGCAAGTTTCTTTACCCCTTCCTGGTCTACAAGCTAGATTTCTCATTGTTACATCTGATGAAAAGGTCAACCTAAATTATTAAATGTGTAAAACAAAAGCTGCAACATGGCTTAGAATTCGATTTTGTTGATGCCATTATACCAGTAAAATGCAGCTCTTAGAGCCACAGTCTAGGGATGGAGAACAACAAACAAACGAAAAAAAACTATATGAAAACTTTGGAATTATTTGTATCGGGGCAAGTCGGCGATCTTGCATGTTTAAACTTAGCTGCAACCATTCAACATAAAAATTTTGAGGGGGAGGGGTTGAACCGTGACTGCCGTTGGCTTTGCTGAATCTCTGAAATGTGCTCATAATGTAACTGAACTTGAATAATTGAAACAATGTGATATAGGTCCTATTAATTGGCGCAAAAAAAAGGAATAAAGAAATGAAATAGTTGCAGTAGACTATATTACGTACTGTAGGGTTTGTTTACGCATAATAGGGGCCAATTTTCTTGAATATGCAATTCTAACATATGTCGTGCAGGTTTTCTTACTGCCAGTATCCCTTCATTCTAAGCATCGTGGCCAAGAAGTCTATCCTGCAGCGCGATTCTGAACAACAGATGATACTGAATGCGAGGGTAAGCGGTGATATACTTGCAAGTATGCTTGCGACTGTCATCATAGCCACGCATCACACCACGTTTACTTGCAGAGAAGTCTACTAAACCGTGCTCTTCACCATCAAGCGCCAGATATTGATGTATTTTTTCTCAATCTGAACGTCCGACGGTCGCACCTCGTGTCAGACTCATTGAATGAGGTAAGTCACTATGAACAATGTCAAAATTTTATTTAAGCATATGACAAACATACAGCCTGTTGGGTTCTGTGAACACCGTTCTGGTGCTCAGTATAGGCAAAAAAAGTACGTAATCGCATAAAAACCCCCCAAAAACGTTGCACAGAGCTGTTTTTAGAACTGATGGGAACTTGAAACATACACACGTAATTACCCACCACTGTGGTCAAGCGGTTATGGCACTCGAGTGCGTCGCCGCGAACGAATGCTGTCGCGAAATTGAATAGCGGCCGCGGTGACCACATTTCGATAGATGCGAAATGCCTGTGTGCGTAGGTTTAGGTACATCTGAAAATCCCTGATTATGAGGTATGTCGTAGTAGAAGGCTTCATAGGTTTCGGATATCTGGGCTTTTTTAAGACGTAAATTGCGAAAACCTACATTGTACACATGTATTTATATGTCGTTTGAAGTAAAACTCAAACCAGTCAAGAATGCAAAAAAAAAATTGAGCGCATGCAAACCAGATCAAGCGTATACGCACTCACTTGCCTGTCGTCACTGGCGATGTTGAATAATATGACAAGTTCTTGTCCATAAGTTACACTGGTGAACTTGTTCGGACGCGAGTAGCGCAAGTGCTCCAACTCAGCTGTGTCGACAATTTCACGCGTTGATTTACCTGTGTTTCGACTGCCTCAGTATGGCTGCACGAGTGCATATAGTTCATAATCATCTAGTGCTCTGTGTCTTTCATTGTTCATGCAATGTGTGCCTTCTCCATCATACTTAATGAATTTGATATGCAGCCCAGTATTGTTAACTATCACTGCGTGCATAAAAGAAGCCTGAACTACCTGAAACACAGAGGCAAGATACCGTTTTCGTTCTTGCAGATTGCGAGAAAGCAAAGCGACTTAAAGAAAAAGCTTAAGGTTACTTTTGTCGGCGAACCAGGGCTGGATATGGGTGGTCTCACAAAGGAATGGTTTCTCTTACTCATAAGGCAAATCTTCAGCCCTGACTACGGTACGTAGTTTTTGTAGTTTGTTATCGGCTTCAGATATATATACGACACAGTGAACGATGCCTTTGAGCCTTCGTGGTCATCATGGTTTTTCACCGACGTCTGCAGGCATGTTTGTATATCACAACAAGGCAAGATGCTACTGGTTCAGTACAACGCAGCTAGGCAATCTACGAGAATACAACCTCATAGGCGTTATATCCTTTGTAGCGTTTTGTGTCATTCAGACAGCTGAAAGATGCTCCTGTTTTGTTTACTGACAGAACACTCAGTTGCAATGCGAACGTGTAGAGAAAATGTGGTATATTCCTTACATTGCGCACTTAATGGGACTTGCCGTCTACAACTCCATCATTTTGGATCTCCATTTCCCGACGGCATGCTACAAGAAGCTCCTGAACCCTCCCGTTGTTCCTCACAACATCGAGAACGCCTACGTAGGAATCTGCAAGTTCACGACGGAGGACCTCGCGGAGGTGATGCCGGTACGGCTTTCCTGCTCTTCTGTGCTCTTGAACAAATCCTGGCTAGAATACACGCCAGTAGGCCAGAAATCAAGTCAAATTGTGGCTGCTTATAGTCACAGTTAGTTACGCGGCTCTGTAGCCGTGTCCCCGAGTAACCGGCCCGATTCGAAGTGGCCTTCAGATTAGGCGGGACAAGAATTAGCCGGGATTTTAAGTCAAGATTTTCCTGGCTATAGGTGTGGCCTGTGGTTACGCGTGACATTTCCGTAAGCGGCCTAGCCCCGACACAGTTGCGTAAAAAAAGCATTATTTTAAGCATTCGAGAGTGGTTCCTCGCCGATAATGCGGTGGTTATTATGCACATAGGTAATTACAAAACCATTCGTACCACAGTCAGCTAGCTACATGGGCGGGATTAACATGCAAAGCACACTCTGCACTGGATTCGAACTTGGGAGCGCATGCACGTGTAGCAGATGTTTTACCCATTGCACCACAGCGCCACTGCATGAAGGCGAGTTTTTTTTGCGGAAATGTATATCTATACCCAGTGGCTTTTTGCAAACCGTCGGTGGTACCTTGAGTTTTTTTTTTTTTTGTGCCATATGCATTTGTTTGCGCATGCATTTGATCAAGGAATAGTTTGTAGGGCTTCATGAACTTGACAAAACCACAGTGAGCGCTTTCAGCTCCGACTTCGGTTCGTGGTGCGCCGTTGCGCAAGAACGATTAACGTGTGTTCAGGCGTCGTTTTGGGATTCCCCGTGAACAGCGATGTTTCGTTCGCCGAAATTCGTGGATACCAGCGCGACGAGGCTGTGCTCGGCTGTCAAAACCTACGTATCTTTCTCGCACGTGCGTGTGCTGTGAGAAATTTCGCTGATCTGTGTCGGGAGGTACAAGCGTGTTATTGACAGCAGCCTATTCTCAGCTGTTTGAAGACAATGCTATTTCGCACGTGAACGTTGCATGGGTATTCTAGCGTGCCTACTCTGACATTTGCATTTCGTACGCGCGAACTGCTGCGAGCTGCACGCTGGGGCAGCAGCGCCTTTTTAGCATTTTGATTATTTCTAATTTCGCAATTATAATTTATGCGCATCATTTCGCGATATAGCGTGGTTCCTACTCATTTTCAGTTTTTAGCTCATCCTATTTATGGGGAGTGGCTACTCTTACCTTTATTCAGCATCACACCGCTGTTCAAGTGAATGCCGAAACGCGTGCCAGGGTCAAGTATGACGTACACAAATTAGCGACGGACAGGTCGGTCTCCCTCCAAATAAATAATGCCTCTGCACATCTCTTTCGCGAACGTCGGCGTGCAGTTGGGGTCAAGAAATGGTGCAGAACTAACCTCAAAATATTTGTTCTTACTGCTAGCAGTTGCTCTTTAGAAAATGGGAATTTTTATAGCTGGTACATTATCTCCACAGCAGTACACTGGTTGTCTTGGTCGTGGTTCACTGTTACAAATCCATGCGGGAATATTAGAACTTTACTTAATATTCAAAAGAGTGAGCAAATGTCGGTGGCATACGCTCTACTGCTGACTTCTGCACCTGACTTCTGACTTCTGACTTCTGTACTCGATGTTCAAGTTCATCATCAAATTACGCAACCACTAATCAAACATCAACCAAACAATTTTCAATTTTGATCTTTTTCTGTCTCGCTGCCTTTCGTTTGTTTCTTTTTTGCCATGCTTTCCTAAAATCATCAGTTCAACTTGTTTTCTAGAACACGAGCATCAACATACATATATGCTAGCTTTTTTTCAGTAAGCTGTCGCGCCATGCCGCACCACGAACAGGAAACTTCTCAGCTTCCACTGTTCTCGCCTCTCTTTTCTTTTTATCCTTTTTCACCTCCTTCACGCGCGCCCGCTGGAGAACCCCCTTCCCACTACCCTCCCCCTTCACCGTTCATGGTGCAGTCAAGTCAACGTTTCGGCGCACCCTTTCGCTTCCCTATATCACGCGCATGCGCGGGCGGGGTCGCATACGCCCTTCGGCCGCTTATCAGCGATTGCTATAGGCGGCACTTTTCAAGTTCGAGGCCGCCTAAAGAGAGTCGTGTATATGTCTCTTCGCCGGGCTGTCTACAGCCGTGCAAATAGACGGTACGTATAGGAGCACGCCGCCTATATGCCGTCCTTTATCCGGCACCTGACGGATAGTAAGCTTTACGTACTTAAACATGCATCATGCTTGAACACAGCTAAAAAATGATTATGAATAACTCCAAAATAATTACTTTGTTATCGAATACAACTCTTAAATAATCCAGCCACGTGACAAAACGTTAAATTCTGTTTCCGTTTTGGTACATAAGCCTACACCGCGTCCTTACCACCTCGCTTGTTCTTGACCCGTTGAAATGATCATTTATGAACACTCGCCATCGTATTGTCTTTCAAAGTATTCCACCCTAATTCATTTCTGGCATTGTGCAAGTTCAATGTTGCAGTTACACTATGTACCGCATGGAACACCGAGGAAGTTAAATACCGTTGGCGGGGAAACAGAAAGGGAGGCGAAACACTTGAAAATACTTGGAATTTGGCACGTATCTCAGCATTCACAGTTCATGTCTGCATCTGTACTGATGCTTATGGGCCATGGTGCCATAATTAGCGCTTGCTTCCTTTTTTTCTAGGAAAATTCACATAGTATACTCGCTTAATCGATATATATTGCATCGCAATTCATCGTTGTGACGTTTCATCAGTAAGGTAACGTTTCAATATTGTCGTGTCTATTTATTTTAGGATGTCGCTGTTGGTTTAAACGAACTGCTGGCGTACGAGGGAAACGTTGAAGAGGATTTTTGCATGAATTTTCAGGTGATAGCAACAAACTAAAATCCTATAGTCCTACGTCTTGCACCATTTTTATTTCTAATTCCTGTGACGGTACACCGCTGTTTTCCCGGCACAGGTTTCTGTAGAAGAGTTCGGTGAAGTAAAAACCCACACGCTCAAATATGGCGGCGAGGACATTCCAGTGACAAGCGAGAATAGAAAAGGTAAGAATAAGCCTGCGGTCATCAAGCTACAATAAATCCAGAGTGTGTGACGTTCACGACGTGGATTTTAAAGTGGAGCATGCACAAAGTGAGCGCATCTAAAATCATCACCCCAGATAACCTTGACAACACTGAAAGGCCTTGGTCTTGTACTTTTATGTTGATGTTGTTGAAACGCATTTCGCACCTCACCTTTGGAATAGCCATGCTGTGCTCTTTGGCTGGGTACCGCGGAGTGAGGTGACTTTTCTGACTCATTACGAGGCGTTAACGATTGATGATGAAGCATTGTCTGACCATTAACCTGTACTGAGGACCGAACTGCTTCATCATTGTTCGAATGCAGACACGTCAAGCTTTTCATCAACGTAAAAGGGATCGACTTCAGCAGCCAAAAGTGTGGCGTTTGATCTTTTCTTGTAGCAAAACACTTCTCTCGCCCCTCAGTGGCCAGGTTTCACTGAGGTGGAGAGTAAAAACATTTTACTATAGCTTTCTGTATACACTTGTTCTCGTTTAAATAACAAATGTTTTAAAAACCAACATTAATAGCTTGTTTGCATGAAAACGGGTCAAATCGATAATGCCAAATGCCAGCTCTTTAAGTAGCATCTGGGTATACATTTGGTTCGGCTGCGACCACAAATGTGTTTATCAATCTCGTTCGTTAGATTCTAATATCATTATGTGTCACCGTGTAGAAGACACTAAATGTGACTATTGTTGGGACTCCGGGTCCTGCCGGTCTCGTTTTTGGTAGCCGGCCCCGTCGCAGGATCCATCGTCCAACAATTCAGCGAGAAGAAGCGCCCGAACGAACGACAGAGATTTATTTACATGTGGAGAAGTGATCAACTGATCCAAAGAGAGAAGAGTGAGCGTGATACAAAACGTCTTCGGCATTTTATAGCGCCACGTTGTTGACACTGGGCGCCTTGTCCGCATCGTCAGCCAATACGGTGTCCCCGGCACCTCGGCCACGAGGGAGGGGGAAACACCTCTCACAACACATGGAGTGGCACAACCTAACACGATGTCCATATATGGTCACGGCGCCCTAAAATGTTGCCAAACATGGTCACGAACGCACAGCAGATTCCGGAGTTCTCCCGGCGAGAGGAGGAACCTGAATGGGGAGGTGGGGGTGGACGACACCGTCGGTCAAGAACCGGTTCTCCCCCAAACTCTTCTTGCTTGGTTCCCTAGGGCCGGTCGTAACAGTCTCTCGCGCGGGGGGGGGGGGGGGTGAAGATCTCGATGGGCTGAGGTTTGCAGCCACTGTCCGGAGAGATCAGCGCCGGCAGTCGGTTTGGTGACGACCGTCTTTGATGAAGTAGAGGGCAACACCTGCTTCATTGTGGGCTCAACAGACATCACATACGCACATGAAAACACAACTACTCAGCCGGTGAGCGCCGGACAATTCCGCCAAACTCCACCAGGCAATTTTCCCCTTTAACTGATATTAAAGGAACTACACAATTTATTCAAAATGTTACTCACACTTTAAGGTGACACAAAACAACAACACTGGAAGCACACCAAACCCGAAACCCTGGATAGCCGTGTCTTCAACGTTTTCAAACAAGTACACCTAAAAGAGTAAAAAAACAATCACTAGCTCTTGTCTAGGTCAGGGAAAAAAATGCCAGAGTTCTCGAGACATCCTCTCGCGTCAGGGGCATCGACTTAAGCCATCAGCGTTGCCATGGAGTACACCCTTTTTGTAGCGTATTTCAAACGTATATTGTTGCAAAACGAGGCTCCAACGCAGCAGGCGGCCGTTCTTAGAGGACATGGTCTGTAGCCAGGTGAGAGGACAGTGGTCCACTTCCACAATGAACTTGCTTCCGGCAATATAACAAGCCAGTTTCTGGACTGCCCAAACCAAGCACGCGCATTCCTTTTCGCTAGCGCTGTAAACCTGCTCGCGAAGGGTGAGTTTCCGGCTAACATAGAGGACGGGATGCTCTTGATCCCCCTCATCCCTTTGACTAAGAACTGCCCCCATGCCTCTATCACTAGCGTCACATTGGACTATGAAAGGCCTCGAGTAGTCCGGTGAACTAAGCAAAGGTTGGCTCGACAAGGCCGCTTTCAAAACGCGGAAAGCCTTTTCTTTCTCCTCATCCCAGTCGACCATTTGGGGCTCGGTCTTGCGCAAGGCGTCAGTAAGAGTGCTGGCAATGTCGGAATATCTAGGGATGTACTTACGACAGTAACCAGCTATTCCAAGAAAAGCCCGAATATCGGTTTTCGTTCGGGGCTGGGGAAAGTCTCGGATAGCTGCCACTTTCATTTCAGAGGGACGGCGATGCCCTCGACCGATAACATGCCCGAGATAGAGTACCTCTGCTTGTGCTAGCTGACACTTGGGCGCCTTTACCGTTAAACCTGCTTCGCATAGGCGTGTCAGTACTGCTCTCAAATGCGCCAAGTGTTCCGGCCAGGACGAGAAAAACACGGCGACGTCGTCCAAGTAAGGCAATGCGAAGTCCTCTTGACCCCGCAAAACCTTATCCATTAAGTTTGAAAAACAGTAAGGCGCGTTCTTTAGGCCGAAACTCAACACTTTAGGGCGGAATGTCCCGATGGTGAAATAAATGCAGCATACCGGCTTGCCCTCTCGGTGAGCGGCACCTGCCAGTAACCTCTCACTAGGACTAGCGTTGAAATAAATTGCGCGCTGCTTACCCTCTCGACGCGTTCCTCAATGTGGGGAATTGGGTATGTCTGATCCTTGGTGATGAGGTTTAACTTACGATAGTCTACGCAAGGACGCGGATCTTGGCCGGGTACCTCCACAAGAATTAACGGGGAAGTGTAATCACTTTCACACGGCTCAATCACGCCCAATTCCAGCATCCTGTTAACCTCTGCTTTTATTAGCTCAAGCCGGCGAGGTGACACCCGATACGTCTTAGATCTTACCGGTTCCGACGAGGTAAGCTCTGTGTCATGAGTGAGGACGGATGTCCGGCCTGGCTCGCTTACAAATCTGTCCTGAAACTCGGTCAAAAGACCACGCAATTCCTTCTTCTGCTTCGTTGTCAGTTATGACTTTGATACTAAATCCTCAACTCTTTTCTCGATCGGGACTTCGTCCGATTCGGGAGCTAATTCAGGGATTTCTGCCGGAACCTCTTCCGGAACATTTAAAGTCATGTTCACGATGGCTTCCCTCTCTTTGTAGGGTTTGAGTAAGTTGTTATGATACGCCTGGTGTGCCTTACGACTTCCTGGTAATTTTACCACATAGTTGGTGTCAGACAATTTTCGAGTAATTTCGGCCGGGCCGACCCATTGCACTTCAAGCTTATTCTTTTGGGAGGGCCTCAACAACATGACCCTGTCTCCTACAGCAAAGTGTCGTGCTTTAGCTGTCCGATCGTAGTAAAGCTTAGCCTTCTGCTGTGCTTTGGTCATCGCACTCTCGGTCAGTTCTTGGGCTTTTGTTAGACGATCCAATAAGGTGAGGATATATTCCACTACTACGGGATCATCACCCTGACCTTCCCACGACTCTCTCAGCATACGAAGAGGAGACCGCAGTCTGCGGCCGTAAACAAGTTCCGCTGGCGTAAACCCTGTTGTCTCATGTGGTGCAGTTCTTGGTGTAAACATCATTGCAGGTAAGAACATTTCCCAGTCAGTTTTTCGTTCAAAACATAAGGCTCTTAACACTCGCTTCATCACGGAGTGAAGCTCTTCTATCGAGTTCGACTGCGGATGGTGGACTGAACTATGCAATAATTTCACGCCACACCGCTCTAGAAAGGTTGTCGTTAAGGCACTCGTGAAAATGGTGCCCTGGTCTGATTGTATCTCGGCAGGAAAGCCTACCCGGGCAAACACGGACAGAAGTGCGTTCACTACTTCCACGGAACTTAGCTCTTTTAGCGGGACCGCCTCTGGAAATTTAGTAGCTGGGCAGATTAAGGTCAGGATGTGACGGTAGCCTGAAGTTGTCTTGGGCAAAGGACCTACTGTGTCAATTACCAACTGACGAAAGGGCTCCGTGATTACGGGTACCAGCTTCATTGGAAATTTCGCCTTATCTCCCGGCTTACCCACTCGCTGACACACATCGCAAGATTTTACAAACTTCTCTACATCTTTAAAGCATCCAGGCCAGTAGTATTCCTGTAAAAGACGATTTTTCGTCTTCTTTACGCCTAAGTGGCCTGACCATGATTCTCCATGCACCAAACTAAGCAAATCCTGACGATACGCCTGAGGTACGACTACCTGGTCAAACTCTACTCCTCGCCTATCTAGATATTTTCGATAGAGTATGCCGCTCCTCTCTTGGAATCTCACATTTCGTTTGGCGATTCCCTCTTTCGAACTGTCCTGGAATTGCTTAAGCGTCGGGTCCCCCTTTTGTTCGGTTATTAATGAAGCGGGGCTCACCTGCAGCAGCCGACTGAAATTATCCGAAGTTGGCATGACACACAACTCTTTTGTATTTCCTAGTACCTGGAATGTGTCACCCCCTGTGCTATCCTCTGTACTACCAGGAAGCGGCTGGGGAGCAACGGCATTTTCTTTTTGCTCGGTCAACGAGGCGTAATTGACCCCTTCCAATTCGGGAGGAGGTTCATCATCGCCTTTAGGAATGGTTGCCTCCGCGACTACGGCTTCTGCAGCCTGTTCTCGCACAAGTCGATTTGTTACCGTGGTGTCCAACTCGCAACCAGGCCCGTTGTCGATTTGAGGCTTGTTTGCCTCAGTGAATGTTGCTCTCGCAGCCAGCGCACGTGCCTTCGATCTAGTCAGTGCCTGCACTATGCCTTCTCCCAACGTTAGACCTTTCTCCTTCAGCATTTGATCTGACTTATTTGAAAATAAGTAAGGATACTGAGGGGGTAGATATGGCGATACCGCGGCTTCCGTTTCCAACGTTCCAAATGCGCCTTTAAGGACAACTTTAGCTACGGGAAGGCACTGACTGTTTGTTTCTACGGCTTGTCTAATCCAGGCACAGTCTCCTGAATACT